GTGGGAACGACGCAAATAAAATCAAGTTGAAGTCCAAACGATTTATTAAATGACCCTGTTATACGAAACAGCACGGCTCCCGAAACCAGCAATGACGACGCCGAAGAACAAAATCAAGGCCCAACCCAAAACCCGCCGCCTAATAATACTAATCAGACATCCAACCCCCCCCCCCCCCCCTCATCAAACAATTTTCCTCCACCGCCTCGCCAGCAGCCAACCACAACCAGAGATTTAACTTTTCTGATTGACCATGTAATTCCGGGCTATAATGGCAATCCTCATTATATCATTTTGTCGGCTCCGTTAGTGGTGGAAGGTTTCGATATTAGTTTTCTTACTATTCAGTCCAATGACCCACTTCTGCAAGGAGGTAATCAGGTAATTATTCGGGATGTCGAATTAGGTTCAGGCCGAGCCGAAGTGGATGCCCATATTGAAGAAATTAGTATTAAAAATTATTTTCGCACTATTGAATTAGTATCGACTACTCCTCCCCCAGGTGGCGGCAGCAGAACGCCCAATAATCCCCCACCTCTCCCATCCTTTCCTGATGTCGTGAAAAAAAATCAAGATCTGATAGATGAAGAAAATAGTTTTTTTAAATTACGCGACGAACTGAAAGATATAATTAACAAAAATAAATCCGTGGTTCAAGAGGCTCAAACTCTCGGACTAACTTTGCCGTCATTTTCGGACAATGCTTTGGATTTTTTTCAAACTGCCCCTTTCGTTCTCTTTGACGCAGGCCAACCGCTCAACAGTCCGTTTAATCAACAAATTAGCGACAAAAATGACAAAATTAGACAAAAAGCATTAAATCTTAAAAATAATATTTATCAAATCTATAACAACAATGTTAAAAAATTAAATGAGAAGAAACAGGGAGAGCAAGGAGGCTCCCCACCACCCGAAAATGAATTAACCAAATTGAAAAAGCAAGCAATTAATAAAATAAGCAACATTCTCACTGATCCGGATAATTTAAGAAATATCGATTTAAATACTCTGGCTGGTGGTAAATATCAGAATTGAGAAAATGATATTATGGGATTAAACACGGCTGACAAAGTGAATGATTACTTAAATGCTTTTTCAACCGCTTTAAAAGAAAAAGGAGTCGAGGAAAAAGAGATAAAGGAGCAAGAAAAAAATGATAATTCCTCCGATCATGACTCTCAGAAAAATGATAATGTTATTGATGATAAAACCAAAAATTTCATTAAAATTTTGCCCTTGCCCTCGGCCAAAAATGTGGCTAAAAATAAAATCCTGGAATTATTCAGAAAACACCGACCTGATTTGGAAAAGTTAAAAGAAAACTGAGCGGGCTATAATAGTTGAATGGAGTGTTTGGATAACTTTACTAGTTCGGCCGAGGTGGTGGCCTTTTTGGAAAGAATGGAACAAGCCATGGATCAACAACAAAGTCAAAAACAACAATCAAGCAAAAATCCGTCTGCTCGGTCGAATTCCATGATTTTCCCTTTTCTAATATTCTTCTTTCTGACCTTGGCTAGTTTTCTAGTCATAGTTGTGTTAATTCGAATGCGGAAAAACCGGTTGCAGAGACAAAAAAAATAAAATAAAGCAATAATAAACAACAATTATTACATTTTACGAAATTAATTTCCGCTTTTTTTTAACTTTTTCTTTAATTCTTGGACTTCCTTTTTTAATTCATC